CCCGTGTTTGCGGGGGCTAAATCCCCATTATCCCTGGCCTTCCGCTGCATCAACAGAAGTATTAGGTGTAAGACAAGAGAAGTGATAGGGCCACTCTACTTGGCTTGCCCTCATTTAGAGTAGTGTGTGCAGCCCTAGCCTCCATGTTTTAAGAAGGATGTGGAGAAGTTAGAGAAGGCCCAGAGGCAGGCATCTCAGCTGAGAGAGAACATTTTCAGATTGCTTTTGGATGATTGCTTAACATTAAAAAGGCCTAGTGCAGGGCTGTCCGAATTCTAAGTAACCAGGGGTACCAGGAGGAACTACACACCCCAGCAGCTGCACTACCATAAACTATGGGCCCTTGGGCAGCTCCCACTACCTAATGCACCACGTGTACAGGTGGTTCCCACCACCAATATTGCACTGCATGCACTGTCTGCCTCTGCCTTTTCTCCCCATCTACTGGCTCCCCTGCTGCCATGTGCTGTGCTGCCCCACCCTTTGGGAAGGGCAGCCAGCAAAAGCTGCAGGGAGAGAGGTGGGACCTGGAGACCTAGATGTTGCTGCAGCAGAAACTGTGAGGGGAGCAGCAGCCATGTGGAAGCCCAGGGATTGTAGTTTAACCCCTTGGTTGGCTGTTAGTTGGTCAGCCCTGATCTAGTGGATCAAAGACACCATTTCTCTGAACACAAAGGATACAAGTTAAAGAGGCAATCCATCCCTTTTAAAATTCTCATTTGCTACTCCAAGGAAGGGTAGCTTTCTCATGGCTTTCACACTCTGTCTCTTGTCCAACAGATTTGTGAAGTAATGTGTTTGTGAGTTTCTTTTTGCAGCAAAAATCAAGGTACTTATATACTGAATATTTTTGTGAAGTGCTCAATATTATTTGCATTTCCAGATTTTGCACATTGTCAGTTAGACTGATGACCACAGAGTTGATGCAAGTTCAAGAATACCAGAGAGAGGTATATCCCAAATGAAGAGAAAACCTGATGCTGATGAGGCCAGGTGAAGCTTATCTAGCTTTAACCCAGGTACACAAGAAGAATGTCTTGCATTTAAAAGCGTGTCTAACTGTATCCCAACTATATAGTTGATCCAATAAAAGTTACCACCCTAAGAAATCCTTGCCTCTTGCATAATTTCTGGACCATCAAGGCTACAACTCACTCTTACACTACCTGAGGGCAGAGGCACAGCTCTTGGCCTTTACACTCCTTAGCACAGGGTGAATTCCATCCAACAAGCACTGTTTTTCATGAAAGAAAGAGGCACCCTTAGCTTGAGTGGTTTTCTTACTCAATAGATCTGAATGTGGGAGGGTCCCTCTCCAGGGGGGGCTATGAAGCCCCTGGAATCCCTACATCCCTCATTTTGTGGGCAATCACCCCTTCTACTTGCCTACCGCCCCTTGATTTTTGTTATTTTAACAAGGGAGTGTAGAGGGACTCAAGCTGAGTGGCTGTACCAGGATGGGCCTGTGCACTTTACATTCAACAGGTGTCTCACACTCTTT